GGGTCCTTGGGGTGAGGATCGGTCGTGTTAAGTGTCTGGACAGGAAGGGGGACGGTCTGAGGAGGTTGCGTTGTTTGCCCCAGTGTTTGCATCATCATGATGATCTGGTCAACCTTCTGCTGCATCGCCTAGAACTGGGCAGGGTCGACCGTGGTCTATTGTTGAGGTTTAGTGGGTTTTAAGAACTTTTGTAAAATGATGGTAGATGCCCTTAACTCTATTATCTTATATAGGGCCTGGTACTTTTTCTCGTATTCACCGATTACTCATCTATATCTATACTATCTATAAAAGTATGAATAAATGTGGTTGGCTTTTGAAATTTTCACTAGACTAAAATGCCCTAATTCTATGGTTTGAATAACAGGAGCAATGATAAATATAAAATTTTGTTTTCTCATTTAATATTTATCATCAAATGACTATTCTTTCTCATTTAATGCTTATTACAAAAAAGACACAAACCTCCACTCTTTTTATTCATAATTGTAAAACAAGTCAATGGAAAAAATGTTGTTTATTTAACATTCCCATTTAATACTTGTTAGGGAAAATACACAAAAAATCCCTCATTTTGTTCAATAATTGGAAAACAAAACATGATAATTATTGAAACCTCCTTGAAGTTTTTAACCGTTGCCCAAACCTCCCTTGAAGTTTGCTAATTGCAACCGCCTGCCTTACATTTCTTTATAGAAACAAAAAAGTGAAATTTGGCAAAAGAGAGCTGAAAGCCTTTCTCTGAAATTCTTAATATCAGAGCCAGGTTTCGATCCTGGGACCTGTGGGTTATGGGCCCACCACGCTTCCGCTGCGCCACTCTGATTCGTTATTTAACTTGCCTTAATCTAAAAAATTCGGTTTAATAGAAACCTTGGGAGGTTGGCTTTGATTCCACGGTTTAATCCCGCCTGCCACCAGTAATGTTGATGCATTTGAGCCCAGCAGAACATATATTTATAAGAAAAGGAAAAAAGGGGAAAGTCTGTCAGACAACCGTGCGACCATCCCAGGCCATCAGATGGACTGAGGAACGATCCTCTACGGCCCGTAGAAACTCGAATCTTGAGATCCAAAGGCAATTAATCACGCTCTGATCGCACGGTTCGAAATCATCCACCAGACGTTGATTCCTGTCTCCTTAGAACTCAAGGATACAGAGGTACGAGCCTATAGAACAGATCCTGTTCAAGTAAGGTCGTGCCCTTTGATAGCTCGGACGCTTTGAAGAACACTTGTAGATAATTATTAGCAACCGATATGGGACAAAGTGCATTTAATAAAAATATGCAAAGTTGGAAGCTTTGCCAGGTTCATGGGAATTGCGAAGATGGGGCGCTGGCCTTGTTTCGAACCAATGAAGGGGGCTGATAGTGATAGATTCTTTCAGTTTATTTGGTACTTTAGTTTCATGATTCATGGAACCTACAGGCTACAGGGTTGGGTATAGATGTTTTAGGTAAGGTAGGTCTGCAATTTACGAGTGTTTAGTCTTAGACAATTCATCAAATCAAAATAAAAAATGCTTAAATACCAGAATTTGATTAATTTCTCCATTTAAAGTGTTCTCTCGGGGTAAAATTTTTCTCACCCCCCTCAAAAAAAAAAAAAAAAAATCAAGGACAAAATTAAATGAAAAAAAAGGCTATCTACATGCATTAAGTTTAATAGTTTATTTGGTGCTTTACTTATCTTACTGATTTTTGCGATGCTTATTGTGCTCAATGCTTACTTTCGAAAATAATTTGTTTTTGGAAAAAATAAATTGTCACCGGAAGCCTTTCTCCTGTATCAGAGCCAGGTTTCGATCCTGGGACCTGTGGGTTATGGGCCCACCACGCTTCCGCTGCGCCACTCTCATTTGATATTTTTCGTTTTAATTTAATTGAATATAGTGTTATAAAAGAAGCATGGACCACCACAGCTGTATATATTAAGAAAGGGATAAGTAGACTGCACTTCACTTCAGAACTCTGAATTCCAATGCAGAATTACAACAACTCAAAAATTCAAATAACTTCACCTAAACATCATCAATGCCTCCTATGTATTAGCATCAATTTCGAGTTGGCACCTACCTCAACTGTACGGGTATGATTTGTGGGGTGGACTGAACAGTAAAAACCATTAACAAAAATGTCATTTACTAGAATACATCTATAGTTTCATAGATTTAATTAAACCAACTTTATAGTTTGTATTTTACTAAAAATACCTTATAATTTACAATCTAATTACTTAGGTGGCATTTGATTGCACTTTTCAGATGTTTGAGGTCTGAAAACTTGCTTTTCAGATCTTAAACCCGTTTGGTGTCTCATTTTAAAACTGATCTGAATTTTATTTTCAAATCTAAAAATCATAGTGTGCAGGCCGGATCTGAACGCGCTCAAACGTGTTTCAGAGCCGGTGCATGGTCGAAATTACTCTTCAACTTTTTTTCGAAATGGCACATTCTCACACTTGGGTCGAGTGGTTTTAGAAACTTATTTAATGTGTTTTGCCACCTATCACACTCGAGTTCGGATCATTTGTTCCCTAGGGACAAAAAATTTTCTGTCCCGTCCAATACATTTTGAACACGTCATAGATCTTTCTACATATGAAATTAACGGTCTAAATCTTTCTACAACCCGCCCAAACTCTCAAACCCTTTCATTCCTTCCTCTATCTCGAACTCGTCTTTCTCCCCCTTCTTTTTCTTCCTCCCCTCTCACATCTGGTTCCACCAGTGCCACTGACCGCCGGAGATGTTGCTACTAACTGTTGGAGACAGTTGCCTCACCAGAGTCTGTAAGGTTTGTGAAAACTAAGGGTGGAGATATCCATATTTTGTATCTGGATCCCTAATTGCCTCACTAGTTGTATACTGGAGTAATTTTCAACCATGTACATAGCTGTAGGTTCACTTTGCAACCACCCTTATTGTTGCCATCCATGTTAATGGGTCAACAAGAGGCACATTACCCTAGAGGAGAAGATGGATGGGTGGAAATAGAGATGGATGAGTTATTTAACGACATAGGAGAAGATGGGGAAGTAGGTGAAGGGTGGTCACTGGATGTCTGATCTTATTATCCAAGGAAAAGAGATTAGGCCTAAATAAAGTAAATAAATAATATAAGGCTTTTCATTTCAATGAATGTTACATATGGGAATTGAACAAGCATGTTTTGACAAAATCAATGTAAAATTCAGCTATATCATCTGTGCTTGTCATCCTTGTTCTTGATCCATTTGTGTTCTATAGATTCAAAAATTTCATCAAAGACGGAATAAATTGGATTGCAAGCCTAAAATCCATTAAATTATTGTTGGTCAGATTCACATCATTATACTAAAATTAAATAACATTGGCAATGCTTGATTAAAAAGATCGGTGTGGTTGTTTAAAATCCCATATTTACAATATTACACTTCAGATTGCTGCAGGGGCACAATAAGAACCATGAGAGTTGCAAGGGTGAGGCAGGGTTACGGAGCTGGCCGGAATATAGCACCGACGAGGGTTGCAGCAGCGAGGAAGGTTCCTGTGTGGCCAGAGTACAACAGCGTGTCGGTGGAGAGAGAGAAGAACCACGAGAGAGAAACTTGAATCAGTGGCGGAGTACAATAGCGTGTCAATTAGTGGAGAGAGAGAAGAACCACAAGAGAAAAACTTGAATCGGAGAGGGATGAAACTATCGGCGGCTGTAGTGACAAAGCGGCAATGGGTGGAGAGGGAAGGGAGAAGAAGAGACGAACTCACAGTGGTATTTGGAAACAAAAAGAGATAGTGGGTACGAAGGGTGAGTGGGTTAAGCGTATTTGATAAATAATGAAGTCCATACCACATCGTTAAAAATAATTTTCTGTTAGTTTTAAATATGCTGGGCGAATTTATGTTTCTTATGGTCCTCAAATGGTTTCAACTTTCAACTACTTGTTTGCTTACTACTGGTCCCTTTTATTTGTTTTGTCATTTTGTAGATTTCGCATTTCCAATTGGCAATTGCAGTTTGCAAAAACAGAGGCAGTTGAAGAATATGAAGCGCTTGCCTCTTGTTAAGAGTTAAGAGCTGCACAGACCTTCAAAGTTCAAGCTCTGCTTCCTGCTGCTATTGTTTCAGCCTGTGGATTCATGATTGGGTCAGGTGAGATGCTCTTCTGAAGTTTGTTGATGTCCAAGTGACAATGCATCAGCCAAACTCCTGTTTTTTTCCCAAATAAAATAAATAAACGCATCAGATTGGTGAAACTGTAATTGAAGATGCAGAGGAGGTAATACCAAATAAGAACATAATTAGAGTTGGTGTTTTACCTGGATTATCAGCAACAAATCGGATTACTGCAACAGTATTCCTCATTGGTGGATCGACAAGATTGAACTTAGCCGTGTCAGTTTGCGTATTGAAATTCCCAAAGCCCTCTGCAACGATGTAGAAATCATATCCATGGATATGAATTGGGTAGTTCTCGGCTGAGAAGATACTTGTATCCTATAATACAAGTTCATCATCTTGTACCCTGTTCATCGTCTTCAACCTTGAGACGAAGAGGAGAGTGACAAGGCACGAACTGCGTGGAAGAGGAAAGGAGAGGAGAGAAGGGGAAGGGAATGTAGAGAGATCGGGAGAGAGATGGAGAGAGAGAAATGTGAAAGAATCTGAAGTAGAGGGAATTACTGCCACTGCTGTTCGTGTATCGTGAGGTCAGAGAACATTTTTTCTCGTCCGAATGATTATTACAAGGATAGTATGGGATTAAAAAATATTACATTGGCCTTATTGGATGGAAGACTTAATGAAAGGGGTCTTTGTCTCACGGTCATAATACAGAGGATCTTTTATCGCAAAACAAAGTAATGGGTCTTTGTCACAGACCCCGGGGGTCTTTGTAATTTACACTTCTTTTTTACTTTTTGAGGAAGGATAAAATACAACACTCTCTTTACTTTTCAGAAAACGATGTAAAATGAAGCAATTTGCTCAAAAACAACCAAAACAAAAACAAAAAGCCAGAACAAAAAAACAAAAGAGAACCTTTAACAACAGCCCAAACGAGAAGATGACCTTAAAAAAGTTGCAGGAGAATAATTGCAAGCAACCTCTCCCTCTCTCACCCAGATTTAACAACTCTGAGATCAATGAACGAGAGATGTTTTAGTTGCTTCCGTAGGGAATCAGACAATGTAACTGGCTTTTGTCTTTTTGACTTCAGAGTCGAGCTTCAATTCGAGTTGGCTACTAAAAAAAGTCATTTAAACCCACTACAGAACTTCTCAAACCCACGACATAACCAGGATATACTGCACAAGGTAGAAGCTTGAAACCATCAGATATGGCGAGCATCATCCCAGAAGAGATCATGGTCGACATTCTCTCAAGGTTGCCCGCCAAGTCTCTCTTGCGATTCAGGTGTGTTTGCAAATCCTGGTACACCCTTCTCCATCGTCCTAGTTTCATTCAAATCCATCTAAATCGAGCTGTTGAGACCGAGAACGATCGCAAGATCATCCTTACATGTTCCGGAACTCGCAGCCTCTACTCTGTAGACTATGATGCCTGTGACAAGGCAGTACTACTTAAGCACCCACTTGGGAAATCAGTGGTTGAGCTGCTGGGTTCCTGTAATGGCTTATTGTGCACCAAGGCTTCTGATACGGGTGACATGTTCATATGGAATCCATCCACTGGGGAGTACAATATAGTACCCAAAACTGATACTAAACCCTGGAACGATTCTGAGGTATGGCGATTAGCTGTTTTTGGATTTGCCTTTGACCCAATGATTCACGATTACAAGTTGGTTAAGATTGTGTCCATCTATAAAGCAGACATTCACTTCTGTGAATCAGAAGTCGAGGTCTACACGCTTGGCAGCAATTCATGGAGAAGGATTCCACACATTCCTTTTAAAATTTTTGGATACTATGCTGGGGTGCTTGTCAATGGTGCTCTTCATTGGATGGCTTCTAATGGATCCTCCGAATTGATTGCTTCTTTTGATGCCATTACTGAGGAATGCCGGGAGATACCAAAGCCCCAATCAGCTTCTGAGCAATTGTTCAATTTAGGGGTGTTGGGAGGATGCCTCTGTGTCTCTACAGCTCATGGTGTTGGTGTCATGATCGAGCTTTGGATGATGAAGGATTATGGTGTTGGGGAGTCTTGGACCAAAATTTTTACAATTTTGCAACCTATGCGGACCACGCCTCTTAGGTACTTGAAACCATTGGGCTATATGAAGAATGATGAAATTCTAGTTGAGCGTGGTGATGGAAAGCTGGTTTTGTACAACCCAATAGCTGCAACAATTAGAGATCTTTGCATCCAGGGTATTTCTGCTACTTGGTTCAATACAGAGATTCTTGTGGGGAGCTTGGTTTCTCTCTATACTCAAAACGGAGTTGATGGGCAGCAACAGGCTTAAGAGAAAGGGGGAAAAAAAGAAAAGGTAGAGTCTTAGAAATTTTAAATAGAAACTGTACTCTTTTCTCTTGTAATAGCCTTTTGCCATGTCGGGGATGATTGTCATTGTTTCGAGTCCAGATCTGCTCCTCGCACGGACCTCACAGCATGTATCTGCCGCACATCGGGAATGTCTCCCGTACTTGTATGTTATTATTCATAGGAGATGTTCCCAATACACAGTGATATGTGGCTGTCAGGTCGGGTGTGAGGAGTGCTCTGTGAGGAGCAAGTCCCAATTCCATTGTTTCGTCTCTGACCCATTAAATAAAAAATAAACTGTTTGCTCCATTGCGACCTGGGTGACAAAGGTTCAAATCTTGGAAACAGCTGTATGTGTAGGAGTAAGGCTGCGTACATCTGTCCCTCCCCAGATCCCACATTGGCAGGAGACTTATACACTGGGCTGCCCTTTTGGACAGAATTGCTTGTAATGAACCAATGATGACAATAACTATAGATCTGCCTTATTATCCATCATATGATTTCTTTGTCTTTTCTGGTTCAGTCATGATGAAGTTCCTAGCCTCAAATATCAATCTAATCTAGCTTTAGAGATGGTTAATATGAGAAACTGGTAGGTCGCTCTTTCTCCTGCAATGGAATGGGAATTTCATAATCCCTCTTCTCCAATTATGCTGTTCTAAAATATGTAGAGTTAGAAATTCAGGACATAGTATTTGAAGTATATCTCCAATGGTCTTTTTTTACAAAGAATTCACTATCCTAATCTGCATGTATTTGATTTATACCCTTCAATATCTCATGTGATTTGTTTACTTCTACTAATGTAGGTGATGCAGGAGTGTAAGTGGCAACAAAAAGCATATGGGAAGGAGTATTAACAGAAGAAAATGGATAATATAGTGAAAATAATTATTTTACTATGTAACTTTTTGACCATACATCTTCTGCAATGTGAAGTTTATGTCATAACTGTTAAGTTTGTTGATGTTCTGGAAGTTGGAGCAAAAAACATGTGGGAAGGAGTATTAGCAGAAGAAAATTGATAACAGAGTGAAAAGAATAATTTTACAATGTAACTTTTTGACCATACATCTTCTGCAATGTGAAATTTATGTCTTGACTGTTAACTCTGTTGATGTTCTGGATAGGTATAGCATTGGAGATTCGCACCCTTTTGGTTAATAGATCATCTAGAATATGAAGTTTGTATCTGAGTTATCTCTAAGGATATGATGTGCTTAATAATTCTCATTTGTAGCTTTTATTTTCCTTGAAATCGAAGCATTGGTCCTCAATCTCACTTCACAGCAAACTACCTGACGGGTGCTGTATTTTCATGCATGAACCTAGATTCTGTAAAGACCATTTGGTATGGCAGTGATACCATTTGTTCCAGGAGATTGAATTGATGCTATAGGCTTTTGAGTGATGAAAAATAAAATGTTGTGTTTCATAAACAGATTAGATATTTCACTTATTAGGCCTTATGGTTGTAGAAGAATGTAAAGCTTCAGTTCACTCTTGTGGTTTCAGATGGAACACAGATATGGAAGCACAAATATATTGAAGGAAGATTGACTGGACTAAAGAAGGGTCTGTAACCCAAAACTGGCATACAAGGCTGGGGAGTATTGACAAGATACTTTATAATGCCACCTAAGGCCATAGGCTCATTGATAAGACCCTAGCCAATTGAAGATTCAAGATGGAAATTTTCTACCAACAGATGAAAAGAAACTATATATAATAATCCCTGAACTGAGGAACCAATGAATCTAAAATATATCTAGTCAACAGAACCATTTCCCTGTTGGTTTTTGAGGAAGGTCTGACCAGATTTCATCCTTCTCCTTCTCAGTCTCTGTGCAATTGCAAAAGCCAATTCTAGCGACTGTGAAGCATTGAGCGTTGGATCACAATGTGTTTGGTAGCACAAATTCAAGTCATCAAAAGTCACTGTCCTTGATCCTCCAATGCATTCTGTAACATTCTGACCTGTCATCTCCAAATGGACACCTCCAGGGTGGCTCCCCTCTTGTTCATGAACATCAAAGAATGCTCTCAACTCCGACTAAAACAGATAGAGAAGCAAAGCACCTTATTAGTCCTCAGGATGTAGAAATTAAGTGCAAGATAACTAAATGGTTTGGGCAATACTTTAATATGATTGGCTGAGTTCTTACCCTGATTGCATCAAATGAGCGTGTCCTGAGGCCACATGGAGCCTTAATGGCGTTCCCGTGCATAGGATCACTCACCCAAGTCACAATAAGCCCAGCCTGGCGCACAGCCCTAACCAGGTGGGGGAACTTCACCCGCATGTTTTCAGCTCCCATTCTAGTGATTATTGTTAGCCTTCCAGGCCTATTTTGAGGGTTCAGAATCTCACACAACTTCACAAGCTCCTCGGGTTCCATCTTGTCACTTACCTTCATGATAAGTAGCAATTTCATGTTGAGCCCTAGAAAAAACTCGATCTTAAAAACTGAAGAATTAGCTTAAAATAATGTAACCACTCTATATTATCTTAACAGCAATAGAACAACTAACTGGTCATGACAAGTAGAGAGGAAGGGTTTGGAAGTTAGGATCAGAATAACCCTCTGAAAAACTTAAGAGAAAACTAACAGATCTTTAGATGGTTAATGTGGCTCACCACCTACCTTTATGCCAAGAGGATTGGCTACTCCCCTTAGGAACTCAACATGAGCTCCATCCAACTGTCGAGTTCTCTCACCCACCCAAAGCATGTGAGCTGATCAATCATAGTAAAGGCCAGTTGTTGAATCCTCCCTTGTTAATGCCTGCTCATATGGCAGATGAAGGCATTCATGAGACGTCCAGAATTCAGTGGCTGTCATTGTAGGATGATCTAGATCAAGTCCAGCAGCAGCCATGAATCCCAGAGCTTCATCTACCTTTTGTGCAAGTTCCATGTACCTGTCCTCAACCAGTAAAGTATATCTACCAAGTATCAGCAAAAAAATATTCAATATAACCACAGCTATCTGTATTAAGAACTAGATCTTGGAGAGGTAGAGAAACCTGTCTCCTTGCTCACTGTGTTCTGTGAAATCTAGGTTCCATTGTGAGACTCTTTGCATAGCTGCATATCCACCGGTAGCAAATGCTCTAAGAAGATTTAGTGTACACCCAGACTGGTAATATGCTTTTATCAGCCTTTGGGGGTCTGGTGTTCTAGATTTTTCATCAAAAGCATGACCATTGATGATGTCTCCTTGATAAATTGGGAGCTTCACCCCATCTCTGGTCTCAAATGAAGTAGACCTAGGTTTTGCAAATTGGCCTGCCATCCGTCCCACCTGTTGCATAATCAAAGAAGAGACTTCCATCAGAGGAAGTACTGAAGTATCTTATCAGAATAAACAACAAATTTCTCCAGAAAAAAACCAGCAACATGTTGCAACTGGAACACAATATATACTGAAATTCCTTCTTTCAAGAACAGTTATCTATTAATTTTAGTGAAGTGTACGATAAGATTGCATATCATGCTGATGGCTTTCCGATAAGAGTTAATCCAGCCAAATATATGAAATCAAGGTTCAAAGTATCGATACATATCATGCTGATGGCTTTCCGATACACCCATCCAGGGGTTGTATCGGATCAGAGCATGGTTAAGAGGGTAGCCGGGCCTTAAACTGACCCCTCTGAACCGATTTTAAAAAATAAATAAATAAAACTTAAAAAAAAAGTATGGATACAGGCTGATATGCCCTACCGTATGAAATGCTAAGCAGATTAACTGTTGATTTTTAATTATTCTCTTGTTCCCCTCTTTCACCTCAGGCAAGTGTAAAGTAACATGGCTCAAATAGAAGGAACCAAACTATTCTTCTTAACCCAAATTCTATTCCTTGATTTAAAAGGAACAAACCCAAATAAATACGAAGAGATTTAGACCCCTCGATAAGACACAACTAGGGCATCTTTAGATAACATCAGTGATTATGACCGAAGATGGAATCAGACACATAAATAATGAAAATGTGCAAGCAGCTACAGTGGACAACGAAACCCAATAAAAATACAGATGACTAGAGAAAACAAATATTTCTACATACAATTGATGGAAATAGAAATCATCCTGTCAGTTGAATTAACATCACAGAAAACCAGAATATGGGAACAGTTTTACTTTTATTATTTTTGTGTTGAGAAATTAGATCTGCTATTAAGACAATACACATATAGAACTCTGTTCTTTAAAAACCTTGAAATACGTTTGGAAGGTGAGATGGCAGACCAAAATGGCTTACCTCTCTTTCCATTAGTGTTGCATGGAATGGACATGGGCGCCAGAATCTGACACGTGTCAAGAGTCTAACTCAGGAAGATGGAAAAAGACAGGGACTCATGAACATGTCTATGGAAAAAGCTTATACTAATAAAATAATTCATAGGGAAATTTTCCCATTAGTACCCTCCACTTTGGGCCTAGTGCCACTTTGGTCCCCAAACTTTAAAATGCGACAATTCAATACTCAAACTTTCAAAACATGACAATCCAGCACCCGCTGTTAAGTAGTTGTTAACCAGCCGTTAAATGACATTTGAAAAAGACACAAATGTCCTTCGAGTGTTATCTAATTTTCTTTATCAATCATCTAAACGTCAACAAAAAAGTAGCAGTCCCAAATCCTAGCCTTTTCCATTCAAGAAAGTTGAGGTCATATTTGAGTGGGCCATCTGGTGATCCCAACTTTTTTGAATAGAAGAGGCAAAGATTTGAGGTTGTAAATTTTTTTGTTAATGTTTGGATGGTTGATAAAGAAAATTAGATGACACTCGAAGGGCATTTGTGTCTTTTTCAAATGCCACTTAACAACTAGTTAACAACAAGTACTGGATTGTCATGTTTTGAGAGTTCGGGTACTGAATTGTCGCATTTTAAAGTTCGGGGACCAAAGTGGCACTAGGCCCAAAGTATATGGTACTAATTGGGAATTTTCTCTAATTCATATTTTTAGAATTCTAACATTATATACCCACAAAAAAATGTAACTGTGCTTTTGTTACTAAATGATATTTGATGCAAAAAATGGATCCATCTTGTAGATTCATGTCATTAAATAAAGGAAAAGATAAAAAATGAAATGTTATGTAGAAGTGCTCTCAAGAATCTGTGGAGTGCCCAATGGTTGTCCATTTAGAGGGTCCATATATGCTTTCCATGTTGGAATTTCAGCTTCCAAGATGAATTGTGGCTCTCATCATGTGATTGCTCTCATCTGATAACCACTCTAGTTAGGCGAGATACATGTGGTGGTGGCCCTGAGAGTAAACGGTCTGGTGGAGAAACTCCATTACAGGCTAGAGCTAAATAACTCCTCTTGTCATTTTAGAAGCATCCATATCAGAACCACAACATAAACATATAAAACAACAAGAAAAATGGCAAATCCAGATCTCAACAAGCTGTGAATTGCTTAAAGAGAAGCACCTAAACATCCTGATGGAGGCTCATCCCAAGAAAGCCCATCTCACCCCTAGGGGCGACAGCTCTAGGATAAGGATAAGGCAAGAAGTCAAGATAGAGAAGGAGCCAAGAACCCAAGATTATCAAGATTAGTCCAAGAAAGATAAGCAAGAAC